TTTTGTTCTCGATTTCAATCATGATCTATATGAATATCATTTATAAAACATATACATTTCAAAGTACATGTGATTACCTCACTAACATAGGCGCACAATAGGAAATAAATTCCTAAAAGTTCTTTTGATACTTATTTGATACTAATTCTATTATAAAAAATCAATGCTAACCTCAACACTTCCAAATACAATTTCAATTCTCCCATTATTCATATCAATCAATAGCTCATAATCATTTCAAATTCACAATCTAACCATTAAAATAAATTATTTTAGAATTCATCCTAACATTTCCAATTTATTCAAAATAGTTCCTTTCCATTTAACTTTAAATTCAATCATCCAATAACTGATTCAAGCATTCCAACAATTTATTTACATATTACTCATCAAATTCTAATCAATTTCCATGTAAATTCCATAAACTCCATAATATGTGATTTGGTCCTCAACACTTTACTAACTTATAGATTGGTCCAAACAACATTCTAAAGCTTGTAGAATCATTTATACATCATTTATAGCCTTAGGGAAATTTCCAATAATTTGTCTACTATGGCCGAATGTGAAGGGTTTCCAATTCAATGATTTTTTAACTTCATTCAAGAATAAATTTAACCTCTAAACATCATTTCCAATCATCTACAATATATTTCATATCAAATTCAATTCAACTTCAATTTTATACAAAAACGATAACATGGCTAACTGCTTTAAACACCATTTCTAATGGTTTTCAATCAACTTTCAAACATGAAAATGAATCAAAGACATCAAATTCACCAAAAGTGAACCTTAAAATATCAAACCTAACCTCTCTTTAATCCACCTAACACATTAATTCAAGGTTTCAAGCATGGAAAACATGAACAAATTGTACCAAATGATAGATAATTTCATACAGAACAATTTTTCATTTCACGTTTTCTTAAAAAATTCCTAGTAAATTAACTTAAAAATTGAAAAGAAAACCTTTTCCCTTAACGTATGGTGTTCACATAAATGGCTTGGAGTAAGAAGATTATCTTGAAAATTGAAATTAAAAAACATAAGCCATTTGTTCTTTTAATGAATAAAATGAATTAAAAATTCATTTTAATGTCAAATGACCATTTTACCATTAAATATCATGTTTAATACCAAGACACATGTCCATTTTATTTATCCAAATGTAAAATATGACCCAAAATTTGCCCTTATACTTTTCCAAAATTACAATCATATAATCCTAATTTAACATAGAAAATCAACTTAAATCCAATGGACCATGTTAAATGATTTCATATTAAGGCATGAAATTGAAATTATTAACCTTCCTCTATCATCCTTCAAAATATCTTAAAATTTTGATTTGATCTGATTATTCGAATTTTTTGAGGACTTTATCGCTTTATAGTTTTTAATGTGAATTTCGCACAAAAAATCTAAAAGACACAAAAAACATATTTATTGGGGGTAAACTACTAATGTATGGGATAAAATTTATTTTTGATAAAATTGTCACTTTGGCCCCTAAAATTTTCTCGAGTTTATAGTTTGGGCACTAAACTTTCAAAATTTTCATTTTGGTCACTAACTAAATTTTTAGGTATTACACAGTGTGATATCCTATCAATGGAAAAGAATATGCTAATTGATATGAATAATAATATTAGATTTTATTTCCTTATATTAGAAGATCTTGTATTATTTGGGAACATCTTAGCCATTTATGTAAATAATCCAAATTATTGGGTGTTTGAAGGCTCAACTATAAATAGAGGCCTTCTCCATATATTTAGAACACACACAAAAAGGACAAAAAGAGAGGAGAAAAAGATAAAAAAAAGATGGAGAGAGAGTAATCTAAAGTATTGTAATTCGAAGAGAATATCAATAAAAGAGAAATCATTTTTAGATGTATTCTTGTTATTTGTTTCATTTGTGTTCTTGCTATTCAGGTCACTTGGCCACTTTTTTACCCTTTTCATCGAAAAGAGAACCAATGAAAATAAGGAAAAGGCTTTCAAATAGATCTTCATTGATCAAACCTTCTTAGAGGTTTCTCAATGTAAGTCGGTGGTTGATATTGAATGGTGAAAATATTTTTGTTTTATTTTTATCCAAAATTTAGAAGAATGAAAATGATTTTATATTGTTTTTTGGATTTTATATTTGATTAAATGATCCAAGGACCCGATTTAGATCTTTATAGGATCCATATATTTTTACAAAGGTAGAAAATACATAAATATTTGGAATGACGATAGTAACTTCCCTTTTTCTTTAATCTTAGAGTTATGACTGAAAATTTTGCTCCCAATAATGAGGATCTAGAGGAGAGTCATATTTCTTTTGTCGGCGATTTTAGCAGTAAGTTTGTTATAGATTACAAGGAGTTTGGAATCCTATTAGATGCGGAGGTCAAGGAGGCAACCTTGTTTAGGGATTTAACCCTATAGCTTTAATTGTTCCACTTGCCCTATCCATACCGCCAACCCCACCTACTGTGGCATGGTAAGAGTCTTGGATTAAGATGCTTTATCAGTACAAGATGACAGATTTATTAGGTTTTGGGGACGAAAATCCTACTAGCACAGAAAAATTGCTTTGAACTAGCCTTCACACTCTTCGCCAACTATATCTTAACCCCGAGGGTAAGCTAGAGCACATCACCGCACTACTAAAGGTTGATACTATAGACTAGTGGTAGACCGTAGACCAAGCCTTAGAGCTAGAGCGCGCTACCTGGGAGTATTTTTTGTCAGAGTTTTGACATAAGTATATTAAGGAGGCTCACGTACATAACCTAAGGATGCAATTCTCCTAGTTGACTCGGGGTAACCAACTAGTGTTTGAGTATGAGAGCTATTTTCTCCACCTAAATTGTTATGTGCCAAAGTTCATGGATACTAAGAACATGAGGTGTAGGAGGTTTAGGGAGAGCCTGCAGATAGACATTCATACCAACTTGGAGCCGACACACCAAGTATTTTTTGTTGAGCTTACCCATCAAGCTTAGGCAATTGAGACGGTTTAGGCTATGATAGACCATTTGATAAGAATTTTTATGAGGAAAAACTAGAGAGTCCTATAGCCATTGAGAAAATAATAGACATTATCTGAGAAGGCCAGTGACTCCTAGGGGTTGTGGAGAAATCTAGTGGCACAGTCTCAGAGGTTAGGATAGAGCTTAGATCACACGAGTGGGTCTGAGTTCTATAGGAAACCTTGCATCAGCATCAGTGGTGAGCACTACTGGATCGAAGAGGATTACGATTCATCGTAGATGCGAGTATTGTGGTAGACATATAAGTGAGTGTCATCAGGTGTCAAATGCTTGGCTACAGTTCTCTTTACCAAATCATCTGAGATTGTCCTACGGTGCAAAGTGTGGCAAGAACATCAATTCAAAGGTTGGAACCATCTATTCAGAGAGTTCGAATGTCCTCGAGGGGTGGTGTCTCTACATCTGGTTAGCACAACCGAGGTACTTCTAGATTTTCATACAAACCTATTTCAAGAGTGGCTTCGAGAAATTATGTTGTGAGAGGCAAGAGGAGTGAGACACTGCTGATATGATATCAAGTATATTTGTAATATTTTCCCCATCACTGTATTAGTGGATTCGAGGTTAACTGAACTCTTACGCACCTTATCGACCTCTATTGGCAGGCTGACATCTACTTTCTTATTAGGTGAAGATTACAACTATGCTCTCGATGCAACCACTGCTTTGTCATTTACCTCGTCTTTCCCATTAGATTTAGCAGCTGAAGACTCAACTTTACCCCTAATCCCTTCTTTTCCAGATATCTTTTTTGACAGCTCGAAAACATTATGTTCATGGGCTTTAGAAACGTTTGATCATCACCCTTTTTACCTTTTCAGGCATTGTTTTAAAACTTTTTCTTTAAACTTATAATCTTATCCATCAACAGTGCTTTCGTAACACCAGTATGAATCGATTTCTTAACAAAATCATAAAATGCATTCATATCATCACAAGGATCAACCTTTTTCTTGGCAGAGTAATCCAACATACTTTTCAACAGAGCAATCTCGTCGTCTTCACTGAATAACCGCTGGAAAAGATGCTTCTTCGTATCTTCACCAATTGTTTTCACCTCATCGACAGCTGAAGTCACGATGTTATTCCCTTTTTCCATGGCTTTCTTCATGGGTTGTTTCGCTTTCTTGGCATCCAACTCCGTCTCGTTAGGCCATTTCAATGAACAAGCCCTAACGAGAGAAGACAAGTACTTGTTGGATCCAAGGTTCTTCACGTTCATGTTATCCATGGGTTTCATCTTAAGAGGCCTGACATTCGGTGTGGTCGTGTCGGATTCAGATTTCGACTAAGACATAAATTTCTCAAATTCTTTGTTCCTTACGACAGTTGTTGCGGATTCAGACTTCTTGGGAGGTGGGTTCTTTTGGATCAATGGAGTAGACTGGGTTTAGGGTTCTTTATCATCTTTTTCTTCCTTAGATGAAGATTCATCTTCTTCTTCCTCGTAGTTAGTCTCATCGTCTAATTCAGAAGTAGAAGCGGTTGGTGGGACTTCAATGTGGTTTGAACACTTCGATGCCATCGATTTTCAATTCTAAGAAAGAGGAAGAGCGAGGCCTATTGAATGAGAAGACCAACAAAGAAGAAGAGATATGATCTTAGGATCACCGGTGAAAGATACCATGATGGAATATTAGAAAAAAGGAATAGAAACTTGAGGAATGAAGAACTATATTATTTAGTAAAGTATACAGAGATTTATTTACAGCAAAATACATGAATACAAAGGTTCTTAACTGCCCAACAACAAGATAACTACTTTAGCTAACTAATTATTAATAATCTAAAAACTATTACAACTATTTGTTTCATCTAACAAATCTCAATTAACTCTATACCTAATTTGGAAAAATGTGATTTAAATTAGGGAAACAAATATCTTTTTTTTTATTTTTATATTTTATTATTTTAAAGGAAAGAGAAATACATGATTTATGTAAAGGCACACCTACGTCCGTTTGGAATAAAAAGAAGACGAAAGAGAGCGTTTGTTACGAAACATCATGTATCCCAGGGAAAAAACCACACCATTCATCATGATTAATGCTCCAGTTAGGTATCTTAACGGGCTGGGTGGTTCAACCTCTATCATTCTTTTTAACTACACCACACACAATCATAGCTCTAACTCGATCATCACACGCATAGAGATAAAGATATGTTGATAGAACTGCTGAATGAGACTTACTGGCATTCTTTGTTGATTTAAATTTTCATTTGAATGCGATTAAGAAGGGATGATGAGATTCTTGTTTCGGGTTTAGTCCACAAAATTTGGATATTTTGGGTTTGTGAATTTTTACAGTGAGACTATTGTGATTAACTATTGATGATGAACAAAAACCAAGGGACTCGAATAAGATTGAGCTCAGATCATAGGTGATTAATTAACATATATGTATCCTATTTAGATATGTTAATTGGAACAAACAAAACCACCTCAATGATTCTCCTAAATGCCTAAATCTAATGATATAAACAAATCAAGAAAGAACTATGGTAGATGATATGAATAGATGGAAACGTTTGCTGAGGCAAGAATTGTGTGAAGCGAAGTGAGCAAATAATTTTTGTCGTGGCAAGAAAAATATGAAAGAGTAAACAAATAAAAATTGCTAAGGCAAAAATTAATTGCAAGAGTGAGTAAATAAAAGTTAGTAAGGTGAATAAATGTTCGAGTTCTGGATATAAACTAATAACCTCACACAATCAGACTTCTGAAAGAGCAATTGGGTTGGGTTTGATATGGAGGGAAATTATTCTATGCCTATGATGAATTAAATATGATGTGCCCATGCTGCCCGAAAGGATTTATTAAAATGTTCCTTGTAACACCCATAACTCGTATACGCGAACCAATATGAGTTACAGATGTCACATCATAAATTCAAAACATTTCTTTAAGTGAGCCAAGTAAAATTTTGTTTCATTCAAACATCTCAAGTTTCATAAATTGAACAATTATTATAAAATAACTATTCATAGAAAAATCGTAATATAATATTTTTGCTTACTAATTCAAAACCAGTTTCAAGTAGTGATAACAGTTCTATTTTGTTTCATAAAATAAATACGATTGTTTATCACATTTGATTTAAAACCTAAATTAATTTTATTAAAGCATAGTTTAATATCATAATTTTTATTCATACTATTAATTATATCTAATACTAACTTTATTAAAAAATTGCAGACATTTCATTCTCATATACATGTCAGCTAGAACTTTTAGAACACATTAGGATGTCACCATTGTTACATGTAAATATTTCCTTGGGGATTTATGTCAAGCTCAACTTCTTACTCATTTTATTCCTTTTTCTTATGCGTGAAAATCATCACACGCTAAGTATACACTTAATGAGGCAATTATGTAAATATTCAAAACAATGCAACATATAACTTAAAGGAATAACAATATTCAATGCAGTATAATCACTTTACTTGTATATCATCCATGATACCATAAATTAACATGATATATCCGAATATAAAGTTTCTTACTAATATACTTGCCATTTATCCTATAAGTCCGTACGCTTATTTACCTGTTTATCATTTATTAACCAATAAACCATAGCCCAATTTAAACCCTGAGGGCCTTAGGTATTTGATTCATATATATGCATTTTAGTGCTTACAGATAAGGTCCTGCCCACCATATGCATCGAAGTGCTTTACACATAAGGTTGTGCCCACCATATGCACCGAAGTGCATTACACATAAGGTCGTGCCCACCATATTCATGGAAGTGCATTACACATAGGGTTGTGTCCACCATAAGAACCGAAGTTCTTAATTGATATGCAATTGTTGCTAGACTCTATGGCATGCCAACTATACCATATCCCTCAGTGACTTACTTGGTCATATAATCTATTTTTCCATCCATGGCAAAGTATATTATCATAATTCATGATAATTATCATATATGTTCATGATAAACATCATATGTAAAGATCGATAATCAATACATTTTATATTCAACCTTTGACATATTTAGAATATGGCAAATATATGATATATGACATAAATATCAAGTCAATATAAACAAGGTAGACTTATCGCAATTCCTACCCAATGATGCATAAAACATCCATGTATAATGTTATGTAAGCATTACACTCACTTTGACATTATATAAAAGTTAAAATATAATCCTAACTACTCTTTAACTTGATCTTTTACTTTCAATTAGGTTAAATCCCAAAATTTGTCATAATTTCATATCCTGGCAGTTTGCAAATAAAGAAATATTATTCTATATTACTATACCCTTTAAAAATTATTTTATTTATACTCTTGGAATCTAGACTCAAATACTAATCTATCTATATAAGGAACTCCTTCTAGTTCAATTTGTACAATTTATGGTGAATTTTCAAAGTTGACCAACAATCTGTTTTGAGTATAATATGTTGCCCAGTTTTCTGACCTATCATAGGTTAAAAATTCATATTTTTTGTATATACCTCAAAATCATTTTTTTATTATAAACAAAACTAGACTGATATAAGAATCCAATGGTATAAAAAGCATTCTTTAATCATTTTGTATAATTTATGGTGATTTTTCTAAACTTACTGTCCATAACTGAACTCTAAGCAAATTTCAAAAATTTGCATTTTTAACTTGTTCACTAATTTTATTAGGTGACCAAAATACATACATATGCATGCATAAAAAATCACATAACATTTTAGGAGTCACTCTTTGCCACAGTAACTCTGTCACTGGCTCATCGTAAGCCAATGTTTATTCGATAACATAAGTACAAATTAAATTTGCACACACCTGGTGTCCTCAGCTTTCAAACTTCCCTTAGGATTTCACATTCCATCCTTAATCTTTTCCTTAATTTTGATATTGCTTGAACATGATTTCAAGTACAAAATCTAAATAAGCATCATTACCAAACATATACAAATTCAAACCAAATGTTAGAAACTTACGAACATAGGCATACTTTGGAAAATAAATTCCTAATAATTTTTTCGATGCTTATTCGATATAATTTCTATGTCACAACATAAATGTTGACCTTAATACTTATAATTGACCACTCAAGTTCCTTTTTATCCCAACTTCGCATAAAAATTTCACTTAAGCTCCCAACCTTTCCATATTTATGATTTAAACCTCAACTTTTACAAGTTTTCCAAAATAATCCAATTTCACATCCTAACTTCAATTTCAACACTCAAACATTAATTTCCAGCATATTGCATAAACTATTAAACAATTACACAACAACCCAAAACTTTTCCATAATTATCAATTAGGTCCCTCAACTTTCATAAAATTTCATAATGGTCCCTAATTTTTTCTCATCCTTTATAGTCAAGGGCATATACTTTGTATGTTAAGACTAGGTTTTTCATGATTTTACTTGATTTTGATTCGATTCAAGCATGAAATCAACCTCGATTCAACCTTATAAATCTCTACAATCAAATCCCTAACTTAATTTCATCAAAACACATCTTTCCCCTAAATCTAGGGTTTGGCCAAAACTTTATATGTTCATATCATCATGTACAAGTTATTTTAATCATTAATCATGCAAGGAAATGATTATACAATCTCAATAACATCAAAATGATTCATCAATTCCATAAATCCTAATGTGAACATAAACCCTAGATTTGGGTTCTTTGAACACAAACCAAATTGGCAAACAATGATGGTACCAAATGTTAGTGTTTTTCGAATAGAACAATTTTCTATTTCACGGCATGATCCAAAATCCAAAGGAAATTGCTCAAAAACAAAAAATAAAAATTTTCTTACCTTGTTCATGAGGAGCACGAAATGTTGGCTAAAAATGGCTAAGTTTTCATGAAATTTCTAGTAAATTTCATGTTAATTTAACCTTTATTTAAGCTTAAATGAATATTTTATAAAATATTCATTTAATGAGAAATGTCCATTTTTCCATTAATGAAACTATATTTACAATAATACCAAGCCAAATAACCTTATCATCTTTCCAAAATTAAAGATGAACAAAATATTTTACCCTTTTCCAATTTCACCAAGCAAATTTCCAAAAAATTGTAATCTTGCCATTAAAATCCAACTGTCCAAATTGAACTTGGAAATAAATTCTAAAATCCAATGCTCCATATTATTTTCCATCATTTTAAAATGTGGAAATAATATTTCTAAGCTTAATTTGTTGTCCTTCAAATTTTCTCAAATTTTCTATTCAATCCGATCTACCGAATTTTTACCTAACTAGAACACTTTCTAGTTTTTTAACACAATTTCTAAATCAAGAATCTGATTTCAATAATACAACACTCTTAAATTTAAACTATTCATTAATGGAATAAAAATTCATTTTAGGAAAATTACCACTTAGGTCCCTAAACTTTTCCAAAATTCTACTTTGGATGCAAAACTTTCAACATTTATATTTTGGTCACTAACCAAAATTTTGGGGTATTACATTCCTAAGCTAATTCTTTTTGGCAATACCTCTCAATGTAAACAGTGACCCTAGCTTATCGATTGAGTACTATCCTTTTTAGTTACTTGAAACGCTCTCTTTATCTTTAAGGCAGATTAGAACCTCACCATCCCGGATTAGTTCCCTTGTTCACGTAGATCTAACCTAACTCTCTCGATATTAGGTATAAACTCCTAGAAAAATGACTATCTCTCAACAAATCTCACAAGACAAGAAGGGAATGGTGGAGAAGTTACTGTAATAACCTTTTCTAAATGTTTTAGGGTAGGCGATAGTAGGACCATAAAATAGCAGGTAATATATGGTATTCATAGTGGGGAATTTCTAGGGTTTAGTGCCCTTGAAATTTCACCAACTACGCTTGAATTAATGATCATTTCGTGAATAATATGGCAACTGACACTGGTGTCAAATCTTTACCAGGAAAGAGGTTCACGTGAGGTGCATTGGACAACTAGTCATCTGACGTCAGCAATTTTGTCTCGTATTGCGTCAGACTTTCAAGATAAAACTTGTCGTGGTGAAACAATCCTCACAGTCATCGATTTCAGTTCCTTTGGCCTTTTCACAAAATTTGTCTTGGCAAATATTTTTCTCCTCGGTTATTTCCTATCACTTGCATCATCACAACCAATACACAACCCTTCTCATTAGTAGCATCAGTTATTTAAAAAAAAACTAGTTGAGGTAAAACTTATCCATCACATGAATGAAATGTCCT